AAATATTATAGGTTTATTCAGTATGTATATATTAAGCACTAAACATGTGTAAGCTTGAGTAATGCAAGAGGTTTGCGATTGGCTGCTAATGGAAAGGTTGGTAGTTGGAACCCACCTAGCACCTCCACAGAAGAGAGCCCTAGTGATCTGCTTCTGTAAAGATTACAGCCAAGAAAACCCTATGGAGCAGTTTTACTCTGTCACATGGGGTTACTGTGAGTTGAGGGCTGACTTGATGGCAGCTAACAACAACAAACATGTGTAAGACCCTTTTCTATATACTGTGGCCATTAAATTACCTTTAAAGTCAGTGTATTCAACATTTCAGATGGTTTATGGATTGGCAGGAGCCCCGGTGGCACAGTGGTTAAGCCCTCGGCTGCTAAACCAAAAGGTCGACAGTTCAAGCCCGCCAGCTGCTCCTTGGGAGAAAGATGTGGCAGTCTTTCTGTAAAGATTACAGCCTTGGAAACCCTATGGGGCAGTTCTCCTCTGTCCTATAGGGTTGCTGTGAGTCGGAATCAACTTGATGGCAATGGGTTTGTGTTTGGGTATGGATTGGTAGAAAGACAGAGCATATACCCAACCATTATTACATTAGATTAAATTCTGTATATGTTGAGCCAAGGATACAAAATCTTGTCAGAAGCTGGAAGGCTACAAAAGGCAGAGGCAGGTACAGCCTGTGTTTCTGTAGCCCCTGGTTCCTAAGGCAGGGCCATCCTTAGGGTGTATGAGGCTCTTGTCTATATAAACAATTTGATTAAATATTGTAATTCAAAATTCATGGGCTCATATGAGGTATAGTGATGGTTTAGAATAGTGGATAAAGAAGAAGAAATAACGTGTTTGTTTGTTGTCTGATCAGTGCACATGAAGATTATTGGTTAGTAGTGTCCAGGTACCATTTCTTCCTATTTAGGTCTAGGAACTATGTCTTGTTGTCCTTTATTGTCAAATATACTGTTTCTGGCTAATTTTAAAACTCTATGGAGCAGTTCTACTGTGTAACACATGGGGTCACCGTGAGTCAGAATCGACTTACTGGCAATGTGTTTTTTTTTTTTTTAATGAGAAAAAAAAGTAGCAATGCTATTATTTATTATTCATAAAGCTGTGTCTCTTTGAAATTTCTTTGTATTGAAACAAGCAGATTTTTTTTTTAATGCCTCTGCATTTGCTACTACTATTTAATACTGGCTATATCAATATTTATGACTCTAGATCATCCATTGTGCACTCCATGAATACTGGCTTCCGGTGACTCAGAGGTTGTTACTGTGTTTCATTGATGATGACCAAACAGACATTTTACCCTGAGTGTTCAGGAAAATTTGAATGATAATTTCTTTTCTAGTCATGTTAAATGTTTCATTTGGTCTTTTACAGCATAAATACAGAACAGACTTCCAGTGAAGTCTTTTCTTGAACTCTTTAGGCCGCAATTGCTGCATTCCTAACGTGATCTCTTTCAATGCTGACCACACCCCTGCTTCCCACACACTTCACGGGGGGAGGATAGGCAAGGGGCCTTATTCAGAGGTTGTCATGTTGAAGTTTTCTTTTCCAGTTTCCTTCCACTCAACGATGTGAGTGAACAGAAGTTGTGGTAGACACAGGCCTAAGAAAATTACTGTTAAGCAAGGAACAGAAATGGCCACCAGAAGTTTTTGCTTGCCACTGTTAGGTAGATACTATATATTCCTTTTTGGAAGCTGAGGTTGCTTAGAACTTAATTTGAAGAGCTTTTCCTTTCAACAGAAGTGTCAAACTTAGAAATTAAGTCACACTCTTAGACCTGTGGGACTGCTGAAGACAAATGTGAGCAGACTGTGACAGGTGTTAGGCAGTGGCTCCTTGAGGCTTAGGAAAGACGTAGTGGGTTATGATGGGTTTTACTGTCTTGTGCTTCTAAAAATCAACACAAATGTGTTAGGCTTTAGTATTGTGATACAGGGGATACTTGGAGGGGGAAAAATCAGTTTGTATATAAGAGATCATTTTTTAAAACATCCAGACACCTTTTCAAACAAGAATGGATTAACTCTTCAGTGGCTTAGAAATTCCACGTCCAATCCTTTTCTACAGAGAAGTTTCTAAACTCTTGTCAAATTAGATACAGTAGTGATCACAAATCATTTCTCAATTATCTGAATTAATGAAAGGGGAACAGCAGCAGGGATAGTCTAAAGCAGCAAAGAAACAAAAGGAAATGCTAACTTTAATTAAAAATTGCCTTTTTTCCCCCAATTCTCTTTTTCTTGGTTGAGGACCAGCTTCATAATTCATGGAGCCCTGCAGTGCAAAGTGAAAATGCAGAGCCCCGTGTTCAAAAATCAGGAATATCAAGACAGCACTTACTGGGTGTCAGGATCTGGGGTGGGTGAGAGTCGCCCTCACTGAGTCGCAGCTTCTGGCCATCTGCCAGATGTACCAAGATGTGGGCAGGGCATGCACGCTCTACCCAGACCTTCCCTGCAGTGGTGCTGAGGGTGTTCTGGCCCTCACTGAGGTGGAGGACAACACCAGTCTCTGGGAGGGGCAGGAGGAGAGGTCAGCCTGGACCTGGGGCACTAGGAGTAGGGGAATGAGTGGGTAAGAACTTATTGCAGGGAGGCTGGGTGCTGCTGAGCTCAGGCTCCAGGTCCCCAGATATGCTCCACTGTCCCATGAGACCACTTAGAAAACACAAATTCAAAATGAAACTAAGATATTTAAGGTGGCAACTGCAGAGCATTAAACCCCAAGATAGGCCCTTCTGAGCATAGGTTTCTGTATGACTCTCACACCCCCAGGAAACAAGCCCTGCTTTGAACGTTTACCAGTGTGCACTGTTCGTATCAACTGGTCATGTGGAAGCACCCTAGAATCATGCTGAATATGACGGGGGAATGAATTTGTTCCAGGTAATTTGTAATATGGATAACCCTGACAAGGAGTAGTAGGTTAGATTCCAGTAAATTTCAGTAGTTAACTCCTGAATTCTTACTATCACAGAAGTGTGGGCCAGGGTATGGCAATGGAGGAGGTTGGTGAAGAAAGGCTCCCTGTGTACTGGGGCTGAACAATACAGATGTTAGGGACTACAAAACAAGACAGATGTGTGCTATAATAGAGGTACAGACAAGAAACAATAGGAAAACTGGGAGTAAAGTTACCACTTTTTTAATTTTTTTATTGTATTTTATTTTTTCTGTTTGTTTTTGTTTTTCAGATTAAAAATATGGAACGCTTCACGAATTTGTGTGTCATCCTTGCACAGGGGCCATGCTAATCTTCTCTGTATCATTCCAATTTTAGTATATGTGCTGCCGAAGCAAGCACTTTATTGTATTTTAGATGAAGGTTTATAGAACAAATAGTTTCTCATTAAACAGTCAGTACACATATTGTTTTATGACATTGGTTAACAACCCCACAACATGTCAACACTCTTCCCTTCCTTGGAGGACTTTTTTTTTTTTTTTGGTAAAAATATACATAGCTAAAGTTACACCATTTCAAAAGTTTCTACATGTGACATTGATTACATTCTTCCAGTGGTGCAGCTATTCTTACTATCCTTTTCCAAATTATTCCATCACCATTACCTTCAACTCACTGCCCCCTAGATTTCCCACCAAACCTTTTGAGTTGCTGTTGTCAATTTGATCTCACATAGATAATTCTTTTTTTTTTTAATACCTTAGATGAAGATTTACAGAACAAATAGTTTCTCATTAAACAGTTAGTACCCATATTGCACTATGACAATGGTTAACAACCCCATGACATGTCAACACTGTTCCTTCTCAACCTTGGATTCCCTATCACCAGCTTTCTTCTCCCCTCGTGCCTACTAGTCCTTGTCCCTGTACTGCTGTGCCTCATTAGTCCCGTTTTGTAAAGTTAACAATTTGACCGGGGAATGTGGAAAGGCCTTGTGGAAAAAAGAGTGACTTTAATCAGGCTGTGATGGATGAGTAGTATTCCAACTGCCAGAGATTAAGAGGCGACCGTTCCAGACCAAAGGGACAGCATGAGCAAAGGCAGTGAATGCAGAGCGTGTTGACAAATGTGCCCACATGACTGGTACATCCAGCCATTCTCTCATAATATTTACTGAACATCTATTTTCTAGGCGCTGAACTAGAAGTAGGGGATATAAGAATACAGGATTTGGAATTAGACAAAGCTGTGTTTGAATCAAATCCACCACTTAGCAGCTGTTGGCCTCAAACACCTTACTTAACCACTCTGAGCCTTAGCTTTAGTCATCTGTACAATAGAAGTATGGGTTTTATAGAATTATTATAAGGATTAAAGGAGATACTGTTTGTAAAATACTCCAGCCGGAACTCTGATCTAGTGAAAGAGTCAGGCCTGTAAACAAATAATTGTGGTACACAAATGCTATGACAGCACAGAAGAGAGCAGCCACACCTGCCTGAGGGTGTTGGGAGGAGGTGATGTTTGAACTGGGGCCTGAAGTGTAACATGCGTTTGTAAGCCAGAGGAAAGCTGAGGAAAATTCTTCTTAGGGTAAGGTTTGAAGAGAATGGATCCCCTTCATAACCAGGGAGGTGGGGGGATGGGGAAGCAGCAGGCAGAAGGAGAAGGATGAACATATATACATAGATAAAGGATGAAAACTAGTGTTTCATCACCTCCCCCAAACAATAAGCCTATTCAAGTATCAGTGTCTTCCACCGAGAAAAGGGAGGCACCCTTCTGTGCTGAGCCCTCCCTCAAGTAAGACATAAACAAGTAGGCATGAGACCTTTGGTATCAGATACTCTGTATTGTTTTCGTCTGTTTGGAGTAAGTCTGGAGCCAAGAGGGGGAAAGATGTGGTAGTTGTTTTCCTCATCCTCACGTGGAGCATTTTGCTTAGTTTGTAGACATGTAACAAGACATGCATGTTTCTTTTTAAAATAGGATTCTTAGTGGTACTGGTGGGTATGTTTTGCTGTGTGCTTGGTGCCTTAAAGTACAAGTCTTTTTATGTCTTTTTCCTCCAGACTGAATACTTGCCTTTGCAGATTCCGTTCAAGGAAAGAGAAGTTGGCAGTCTTCAACACTCTGTAAGTAATGTGGCCATGGTGCGTGTGCCAGCCCAGGCCAAGCTGATGGCTAGCATGCTTATTAAAATATAATTTGATTTCCATAAAAGTCACTTTATTCATCTTTCTCCTGTTTGAGTGTCTGTGGTATGATTTGGTAAAGATCTGGGGCCTGCTTGTCCCTCTTAAGAAATCAAGTTTTATGAAGCCGATAACCAGGTAGAAGGGTCCGTATCAAAACCCCCACCGAGCATCACGGGGATTCATGTCATAGTCAGTGTCAGCTGTGACCCACAGTAAAACTAAGCAAGGAAGAAAGGGCAACACAAAAGGATGCTTTTTGCAGTGTTTCTTATTCTCAATTTTTCTAGGCCTATGATCAAATATGACTTCATTTCATTGTGTTCTTTCCCTAATTCCCCAGTGCTGAACCTGGAGGTCTCTTTTTGTTTTGTCTGTTTAATTTAATTCTCTGTATTATTTCATATACTTATTCCCAGCTTGAGTCTTGCTAAGAGACTCCTGAAGTTCACAATATTGTTTTCCAGTTTACCTTAACCAATTTTAACTCCGAATTTTAAAACCTGAAACTGATCACAGTCGCCAGTAGTCAAAATTTTGTATTTAGGGCTGCCACTCTTACTCCAGTATTGCAAGCAACAAGTAACCAGGAAATGATAAGCTGTTGAACTTCACCTTGCCATTCAACAGCTTGTGGGAGAATGAATCAGGGACACACACCGTGATGAATTATATTCTTGCCTGTTTTTACCAAAGTGCTAGAAAAATGCAAACAGCCGCTCTGCTAATGTAAGCAATGTTTGAATTTTTAGAATGGACTAAATAGCAGGAGATATGACTATGAAGATGAGAATCCAGTGGAGGAAGATGGGAGTCAGCAGATGTATCCTCTTTCCAATCAGATGTGCTACCAAGACTGGAGCCCTGGCAAACATCATCAAAATTACAACCCTGAGAGAGTCTATATCAACCCACAAGAACATTATGTGTGATTTTTCTCTTTTTCCAATGGGTATTTTAACAAATGTTTGTTCTTAGATTGAGGAGAGAAACTGAGGCCAATAGTTATGATTTTATTCTCTCTCCTATAAAATAATTCCAATCTAAGTGTCTTGGAAGTCTTGATGAATGACTTGGAGGCATTGAGTTTCTGACATACAGCTCTGTGTGCCTGTGATGGTGGTGTTTAACTACCAACATTTGGCCTACAATACCATGTTCATTTAAAAGTACAGCATCTGCCCATGATGACTACAGTGATTCTCCAGAAAGACAGGCCCCGCCTGGTAGTATTAACCTTATTGGGGCTCAGGCAGGCCAGCCTGTTCCTCTGTAATTCAAACAGGCAGAAAATGAGTTCAGAATCCATTTCACTCATTATTTCTCTGGGATTTGGCTTTTCCTGTTGTACTTAATACAATTACAATACCTGTGTACAAATACCCAAGGAAGGAGGCAAAATTTGCTCTTTATTTAAAAAAAAAACAAAAAAACGTAGTTTAAACTTTAAGCCCTCCTGGTATCTAAGTTCCTGAGGAACACCTATTCTTGCTATTATCTGCCTGCTGTGGATTACCTGTGTGCTAACAAAGGTTCTTCTCTTGCTCCATCATTGTGCCCACAGTTCTATTCTTTATTAGCCAGGTCGGCCTATTTCCCACCTATGAAATTCTAAAACCCTGCCTAAATTATGTGCAGCCCTTCACCTTGTTCCTCTTTTCTGTAGTATTGTACATGACAAGCTCAGCTTTCACGATTGAAATTTCTTTCAAACTAATCTCATCCACACAGGCTTTAGCTACCTTTTTGCATTCTTCAGACTAGCTATCATCTGTGTTTTATCTACCTCAGAAAAGCCTGCTGGAAAATCACCGTGAAATAACTCCTGCTCTTTAAAGCCAGGTGGAAAATTTGAAAACTTTTTAAAAAAAGAGCCACTTCAATATGGCATATGTGCCTAAAGCCACATGTTGTCCTTTATTCCTGCTCACCTACTTTACCTGGTCAAAAGAGGCAAAGCAAATATCCTGCTAAAAAGGAAACAAGTGATTTGCTTACAGTGTATCCTGCAACATTTTGATGCCTGCAAATGTCTGTGTTGAGTTTTGTCACCTCTCTCTGCCAACTTTTCATCTGAGACTGAAGATAGTAACAATTACTGTGGAGTGAGCAGAGAAGGGAGAGCTTAGGTACACTTGCAAAGTCCATCACTCACCCTCACATCTCAGGGAAAGCAGTGTTTTCCGGTGTGTTCTGGAAAATTAGAGATATATCACAGATACTTAAAAAAAAAAAACAAAAGTCAAACTTGTCACATATTAGGAAAGAGTATCATAAGCACTCAAAATAGTTCACCTTTCCAATCTAAGTTCAAGGGGACAGGGGAATATCTCTAGTGAGATACCGAAGGTGCCTCATTGTCCAGGTTGTTTACAGTAGTAATAAGTTCCCCCCCACCCCAGTTACCTCGGTGACCAACAATTCTGGGAGAAAGGATGCTTAAATCCCAAATGAATGCTTTAGCTAGGTAAATAGCAATTTTAAAGGTTGTGGTTACAAGGGATCAAAGGGTAAATACCAAGGACCCTCATTGCTGTATCACCATGCTACCTTCGAATTTCCTGCCCTTCGTAGCAAGCTGACACAGAAAGAAGGTATTTGGCTGTATTACTTGGAATCCCATAAGTGAGTTAAGGTAACCTAAGGTGTAAGAATCCTGGCAATTTACTTTTTCTCCCCCCCACCCCAAAAGAGAGATGACTGTAGTCAGAGCTGTCCTTGATAGCGAAGTGTTTTATAAATACTAGATGTTACAGAGGAGATAGTGTGGGGCATCACCTCCACTGTTGTCGTTAGCTGCTGTCAAGTTTTCCTGACTCATAGCAACCTCGTGTGTGCAGAGTAGAACTGCTCCATAGGGTTTTCAAGACTGATCTTTCAGAAGCAGATTGCCAGACCTGTCTTCCAAGGTGTCTCTGGGTGGGTTTGTACTACCAACATTTTGGCTACTAGTCGAGTGCTTAACTTTTTGTGCCACCCAGGGACTCCTTCACCTCCTCTACAAAGCTTTAGAAGTGTCGTATGCATTGGCGATGGTTTCTCAGGTCCTACTGGGAAGCTAGTTGTTGAATTAGCTTCATAAAGCACACTCTGGACCCAGGAGAGGTAGAGATGTCTTCATTTACTCCATGGTAAAGGATCTGGAAGCAGTGGGTCTCAGGAGCCCTTTGTCCTGTCTTCAGTGCCCTCCCTACTATGGGGAATCCTCTTTATCTATCTTTTAACATTTCTTGGTATCATTACGGGAAAGAATTTCAGGATGTAGATACCTCTCTTGTAGCCAGCTAGTTCAATATCCTCTTTGTCTCTCTGTCAGCTATGATATTTAACAAACTGGTATATTTTATAGCCGTTGGCCCTTTACATGGGTCACATAAGCTATATAATAGTTTGTCCTGGTGCCTCCCATCTGTTCTCTCTAAATACTGTGCTCAACAGAAAGGAGCTTTAAAAGGGTTTGATTAGCCAGCCCACTCAACCCGAAAAATGTCATCCAAAATTAGCCTGTTGATCTCTAAAGTTAGAGCCTAGACTACTTGATGATGAACATTTAAATTTGGAAGTTAGACTCTTAAAGGTCAGTGAGTGAGGCTTAGGGCTATAATCCACAGCTGATCTTAGATACTTTTCCCATAACTGGTTTACTAAAACACACTGAAACAGAAATAAATCCCTAGAGGGCTTATCCCCTTATGCTGGCAGCTTTGCATTTCAAAGGGAAGTGTGTGTGCTCATCTGAGACGTGTAGCCTTGATTGCCTATTTTGTAGGCAGCCCAAACTTCAGGAGTGTGTTGCTGTCATTGCATATCACCAGATTCTTTGTTCACTGCACTAAAATGAAGCATCTGTACTACCTAAGACTGGCCTGACATATGGGATAGAAATTTAGATTAATTCTGAAATGGCAGTGATTTATCATCTCTTCTGTGAGGCTTCTCCCTACCCATGGCCATCTGATATGTTCTAAATTTGAAGAAGTCCATGCTCTTTGGGGCATGTAATAGAAAATTATTTCCTGTGCTAGTCTTCCCTATACCTTGCCACATACTAGATACTAAATAAATGTGCTGTAAACTAAATGAATTGATCCTCTCACTAATTTTCTGTGGACTTGTTTACTCATAGGGACATAGGAATGTCTATATTCTTCTTTCCTAAGTCCTCTTCCATGTTGTTGTTGTTGTTAGAAGCCCTCCAGTCTGTTCTGGCTCATAACAATTCCTTTACAACAGAACAAAACACTGCCTGGTCCTGCACCATTTTTACAATCGAGCCCTTTGTTGCAGCCACTGTGTCAATCCATCTTGTTGAGGGTCTTCCTCTTTTTCACGGACCCTCTATTTTACCAAGCATGATGTCTTTCTACAGGGACTGATCCCTTCTGATAGCATGTCCAAAGTACATAAGATGAAGTCTCGCCATCCTTGCTTTTAAGGAGCATTCTTGTTGTACTTCTTCCAAGACAGATTTGTTCGTTTTTCTGGCAGTTCATGGTATATTCAGTATTCTCTGCCAACACTATGATTCAAAGGCATCAATTCTTCTCCAGTCTTCCTTACTCGTTGTCCAGCTTTCACAGGCATATGAGGCAATTGAAAATACCATGGCTTGGGTCAGGTGCACCTTAGTCTGCAAGATGACATCTTTGCTTTTTAACACTTTAAAGAAGTCTTTTGCAGCAGATTTACCCAATGCAACGGATCTTTTGATTTCTTGACTGCTGCTTCCATGGGTGTTGATTGTAGATCCAAGTAAAATGAAATCCTTGATAACTTCAGTGTTTTCTCCGTTTATCATGATGTTGCTTATTGATCCAGTTGTGAGGATTTTTATTTCTTTATATTGTGGTGTAATCCATAGTGAAGGCTGTAGTCTTTGATCTTCATCAGTAAGTGCTTCAAATCTTTCTTTAAGCAAGCAAGGATGTGTCATCTGCATATCACTGGAGTCTTCCTCCAATCCTGATGCCCCGTTCTTCTTCATATAGTCCAGCTTCTTGGATTATTTGTTCAGCATACAGATTGAATAAGTATAGTGAAAGGATACAACCCTGACACACACCTTTTCTGATTTTAAACCACGCAGTATCCCCTTGTTCTGTTCAAACGATTGTCTCTTGATCTATGTACAGGTTCCTTATGAGCACAATTAAATGTTCTGGAATTCCCATTCTTCGCAATGTTATCCATAATTTGTTATGATCCACACAATCGAATGCCTTTGCTTAGTCAGATAAAACACAGTTAAACATCTTTCTGGTATTCTCTGCTTTCAGCCAAGATTCATCTGACATCAGCAATGATATTTCTTGTTCTATATCCTCTTCTGAACCTGGCTTGAATTTCTGGCAGTTCTCTGACAGTGTACTGCTGCAACCGCTTTTGAATGATTTCCAGCAAAATTTTACATGCATATGATGTTAATGATATTGTTCAATATTTTCCACATTCTGTTGGATCACCTTTCTTTGGAATGGGCACAAATATGGATCTTTTCCAGTTGGCCAGGTAGCTGTCTTCCAAATTTCTTGGCATAGATGAGTGAGCACTTCCAGTGTTGCATTCGTTTGTTGAAACATCTCAACTGATATTTCCTTCAGTTCCTGGAGCCTTGGTTTTCACCAGTGTCTTCAGTGCAGCTTGGACTTCTTCCTTCAGTACCATCAGTTCTTGATCCTATACTACCTCCTGAAATGGTTGAACATCGACCAATTCTTTTTGGTACAGTGATTCTGTGTATTCCTTCCATCTTCTTTTTATTTATTTATTTTTTATTGTACTTCAGATGAAGGCTTACAGAACAAATAGTGTCTCATGAAACAGTAGTACACATGTTGTTTTATGACATTGGTTAACAACCCCACAACATATCAACCCTCTAACTTCTCAACCTTTTTTTTTAGTTGTT